GGGGGGGAGGGTATTGTCCGTGTCACAGTCCGCTAACAGAGCCACAGCCGCCGGTAAAGGATGATTTATGCCTCGCCGGGACGATTCTGCTTGTGTCAGCACCAGCATCTGGGCCCCTCTAGGGCAGGAGGGCCAGGCCAGGCCCAAGACCCCGCCACCATCCCGGCCCAGGCGCCTTGCCTGTGAAGGGGGAGCTCTGTCTGTCCCCGAAATTCTCATGACAATCAGTGTGGAACACAGGCATCCATTTTTGGAAGCTCCAATGGGCACCGGCAGAGGGTACAGTCGGGCTGGGACCGGCACCGCACTCTGGTCACCCTCCTCTAACGTATATATGTGTATATAGAGCAGCAGTGTGTAGAATGTGCCAAGGCACCTACAGAAAAGTTCAGCCTCTGCCTGTTCCTGAGTAGATGAATGTGATTATCTGTGTTTTACAGGGCAGGGAAATGAGGTGCAGGAGGAGGAAGAGGAGGAGGTGGATGAAGAGGAGGAGAAGGGCCATCTGGGGGGGTCACAGGATGAGTCACCAGTAACCCACAGGATCTCAGTCACTCTCGCTGTCTGCTCTCATCATCGAAAAGCTCCTTCAGATTGCTTTGCTGGAGGCAAGCCCAGCCGTATCGCCAAGCTCCGGGGTTTTTCTGCACTGGTTTGGTGTGTTCCTGCCAGAAGTCAGCCTGGCAGGGTGAGGGGATGCGACTGCAGCCCTGCCAAACCCACAGCTGTGAAAATAAACCGCAGAGACCTTCATGATTTTAAGTTTGTCCTCCTGTCCTGGCCCCTGGGGTCTGCACGTTCACGCTTCTGGTGCACGGTCAACTCGTGCTGAGCTCCGACACGCTCATGGCACCAACACGCTCGTGGCATCAACATACTCGTGGCACTGAGACACTCGTGGCATCTGGGAAGCTGCAAATACCAGAATGGTGAGAAAAATGGTAGAAGGTAAAAAAGGAACTCGGTAACTCATCCCACTGGAAGGGGCAAAAACCCAGGGCGAGTCTTCCCGCTCCCCCGGCTCCTGGCAGGCTCCCCATGGGCGGGCAGCCGGGCTGTGCTGGGTCTTGCTTTGACTGGCAAGTCTCCTTGTCTGTCACGGCGAGAGCCCTCCTCTTTAGGAGGGATTTAAGGGGCTTTCTATGGCTATAGACTGCAAGGACAAATAGCACCCCCAAACCCCAGAGCTCAGTTATGAAGCTGCTCATGGGAAGAAGATGGAAGGAGAGGTTTCGCCCTAAAGCAGAGGAGCTGAGCTGAAGGCATTGCTCCATCCTTCACACCAGACGGGCAAAAAAATGTAATCGGAGGAGCTGAAAAGCTGAGCAGCCTGCCAGTGCTGGCACCCTGCATCCTGCACAGGCTCCCGCCACCTCGGGCATCTCTTCCTCTCCCTCTTTGCCTCCTGCAAGATTTAAGCCTTTCGTTTGCAATCTCGACTCCTGACAATCCTTGTCAATAAATGAGGTGAGCATCCTCTTCTGTCTCTCTCTCTTTGTGCGGAGGACTCGGAGCACCAGCTGTGATGTAGGGCATGCGCTGAAGCGGAGGGGAGGAAGGTGCTCTGCACGGGGAGCAAAATGGCCAAAAGATGCGGGTTTTTATTCTGGAGCTGATGATGGGGAGGGATTCGAGAGGCGTTAAAACGGATTGCGGGGAGAGAAGGGGACACGGTAGCCTCACAGCGACACAGCATTGCTTGGGCTTAAATAGCCCTGCTCTATTGAGCATGCTTTGAGCACGGGGTTATAAAAAGCTGGCCAGCAATAAAACTTAAGGGACGGCTTCTGTTGTGATGCAATTGCAGTAAATGATTGCTGGCTCTGATCGAAGACCTGCTGTTGCTATGCGCGTGTCAAATCTGCTTGGATTTTTCGGCTGGAGATCGAGGGGGCACCTGCATGCATCGCTGCCCGGCGGAGGGGGCAGGGTTTTCTTCTTCTCCTGCCTCCTTGCAATGGTTTCTTCCAGCTTGCTGCTGGAGGACGTTTGCTGCCGGAGGAATCCAACCGGCTTTTCTGCTGCTATGCAGTGGGCGATCCCCCTGGAAATGCAGGAGGTTTGGGAAATGCAGGGGGTTAAGCGGGATTTCGGTCACAGAGGTCAGGCGCAGGCTGGGCTTTGTATAATCTTTTGTTTCTCAAGGTCTTCTTCCTTCCTAAAGAGAGACGTGTGGCAGGCAGCCAGCCGCGGCTCCAGGCTGCCGTATGTCTTACAGACGCTCTGCTTTCCCTGCCATGCCGTTTCTTGACTGAATGTGATTTGTCTGCGTCCTGCGGGTCCTCGGTGAAGTCCTGCTGCCCGCGGACGGGAACTCGTCCTCCCCATCTTGGGAGGCTGCATCCCTGCCTGTGCTGAGGATTCAGGGCTGCCTTCTTGGTTTTCTATTTGTACGACTGATAAAGCCTTCCTGACTACTTACTCCTGACTGTCCTGATAAAGCTGCTATGATTGTATCAGGACGGGGAAGCCAGGCATAACAGAATAAATCCAGGTGCTTGCCACCAGCTGAAGTGGCTTTTTCGCATTCCCTCAGAGGGAAGTTTACTTTGCAGGACCGAGACTAAGTGGCATAAACATTTTCTGGCATGTATCTGAGATCAGTGCTTAAACAGTCATTCTCTTTATGTATTTCTTGATGCTGCAGTTTCTCCACTTCGCAGAGAGTAAATGACTGGGGGAGGCTGGGAAGAGCATAATAATATTTGCCCATTCCTCAGGAGTGTTGTGTGTCATCATTAATACTCGTGAGCCCCGGAGGGAAGGGATTAGAGCTGAACAAATTATTATGGCAGGTCGGATTCTGGCTGCAGCACATCTCACGCTCCTCTCTGGCACCTCTCCTCTGAGGATTTGCAAGGAATTAGCAGATATCAAGTCCCTGCTACTCCCTGTGAGGGTCCAGGGCTCGGTACAGGGAGGGGAGGGGAGGTGCTGAGTGGTGATGGGACTCGCTGGGTTATGGGGAGGGTCATGGCCATTGACTCCGGCGCCGATTCCTGCTCACGCTGCCCCTGCGGTAAACGATGCTCTCGGCTTGTTTATTGGGGCCAAGTGTTTCCCAGGACTTCTCTGGGCCAAGGGTGGGCTTGCGGCCGCCCTGGGAGCTGTCGTGGAGAAGTGTGCAGTCCTTTCTCCTGCCCATAATTCAAGGCCGCCCCGTCAGGGACAGGACGGGATGGGAAGAGGATATTTTTATCATTCCCAGCACCCTGGATGTTTGGGACATCAGCTGTCCCCAGCAACCCAGTGGGGACGGCCCCCCTGAGAGAGGCAGGACCAGGAGGCTGTTTGGGGCAGGGAAGACCCTCTTCTCTGCAGGGATGGCAAGGGAAGACCCAGCTTGGCTAGCCCATCCCAGCATGGCCATAAGCATGCCCATGCCAGGCTGTCACATCCCTGGGGCAGATGTGGTGTGAGCACTGCCCTGATACACCGCCCACGGGTTGTATGTCCGCCCCATGGGCTCTGTGGCATCCCCAGGGGTTGTGTTTCAGCCCCACGGGCTCTGGGGCAGCCCCACGGGGCTGCCTGTCACGTTACCCCGTTAGGCTTTCTGCCCTCCACTCTGCCACGTCGCATCTCGTCCCATTTTTCTCCAGCTGTGACATGGTGCCATCAAGTTGTATAAAATCTGAGGCGCAGCAGCCCGAAGTAGGTCAGTAAGTTGTTTTTTTCCCCGGCTGGGTTATTCGTCGCAGCAGCAGGGAGGGTGAAGCCAGAAGACTCTGCATGGGTGCTCTGTGATGATGTCTGGACCCAGGCAATAAATCATCCTCCCAGGATTAATCCCCAGCATCCCTCGAGCATCCCCTCTCTGCTGGGAGTGGTTTCCTGGGGGCAGCTGTGATTTTGGGGGGGACTGGTACGTGGGTATCAGCTCGGGGTGATGCCGTGCACCTTCCCAAGCCTGTGCAGCGTCCTTGGCCTCGCGGGACACGGTGACCGACGGCAGGTTCACACTGCGCCTGACTCATTGTTGTGCCTGGCCTTATGTAAGCGGTGCCGAAATCTCGCTCTCTGCCGGGGGCGGTGATGGAAGGTAGCTGGGATGGAGGAGGGGGGGGGGTGGAGGGGAGCGGGGAGGGGGGGGGGGGGGGGGGGAAAGCAGCTCATCACCATGGTTACCAGCATCTTTGCAAAGTTCTTCGCATCCATCTGGTTTCATTTTCAGCCCTTTTCATCTCACGGAGGGAACATCCCTTGATGTTTCTGGCTGCACCAGCCGCGGCAGACAGCGTGGTGGGTTAGAGGAGGCGCGTGGGAGGTGGGAGACGGGCACGCGTTGCCTCCCAGCCCCTGAGACGAAGCCTAACATCTACTCGAGTCGTTTAACCTCCTGGCCCTCCGTTTCCCGCCCAACACAACTCAACCAGCATGCGCTCGCTGATGGGATTCGGGTGGTGTTTTCTCAGTCTGGTGCCCAGCAGGGATTGCTGCGTCCTGGACCATGAGCTCCAGCCTGGGTGTACCCACGCGGAGGCATCTCATCTCGGGGAGCCAGGCCCAGCTCTGCTGAATAATCCCAGCGGGATCTGGGCTCGTACCCAGAGCCGATGATGCTGGAGGGTGGCTCTGTGGCCAGAGCCTGGGCTCCTGGATCTGCCTGCAGAGCTCCTGACTGCCAGAGCCTTCCAGCAAATCAATTCTGGAAATGAACAGGATGGACTAATTGAGTTAATCCTGAGAAGTTAATCAATGTCGAGGCGGTTTGGCCAGAAGTCCTGTTTATAATCCATACAGAGATCATTGGTACCTTGTGAAATGGAGGCGCAGCGCAAAGCCAGGCTTTATGGAAACCAGAGGCAGAATCACATCCAGGTCCCGCAGGCTGAGCCCAGGGGTACTGTACCCGGTGCGGGTGCAGGATGTGGCCCACCAGGCGTGGGCAGAGCTTGTGGAGAGCCCACAGTCGTGCTCGTGGGGATCGCGAGGCTCAGGGGCTGCCTGGTTTCCCCTCTCTCTCCAGGTTTTCCATTTGCCCCATCTCTCTGTTCAGCATTAGCAGCTCAGAGCTGCTCGGGGACCAAGAGCAGCCCAAGCCTGGCACCAACCTGGTGCTCAAAAGCGCGGCAAGAGCAGCGGCGTGTCCATCCCAGTGCAAAGGCAGCTGGGCATCGTCCAGCCAGGGCTCCAGCCAGTCTGGTGCCCAGTTCCTTGGGCTCATCACCGGTCTGGAAGCGCGGCTCAGCAGAGCAGACCGGCCTCTTGCCAGCGAGGTCCGGATTTGGCTTCTCCTTCCCAGGGCTCTGAGATCTCCTGCTCTTGCTCATCAGCTTGGATGGGTCCATCCCCAGAGCAGTGAGGGGCGCCCGATGGGTGACACAGCTGTTTAGCACAGTGCTCGGCCAGCGGGGAGCAGGAGGATGCTGGAAAGCTCTCGCTGCAGCTGGATCCTGCATGGATGTGCTTGTGTCCAGAAGAGAGATGGCCGATGCAAGTCCAGGCACCAAAGGGCAGAGAGCTGGGGACTGCCATGCCCCGTGCTGGGGGAAGCCCCCGTGGAGCTCCCGGACCAGCGGTGAGGAGAAGGAGCACCTGGGACCGGCTTTGCTGCATTTCCAGTCCCTACAATTCAGCACCCAGAACTTTACGCGGCGTTTGCGTGGGAGTCAGGCCACTGTCCCCGACAGAGCCAGCGAGAACCAAACACTGGCTGCTGTCCCGAGAGCTGGCAGCGCTTCCTGGATAAGCCG